GGGCACATAAAAAAGTATGAGCATATGAGGTATTACCTTCCGGCATTCAACACGTTTTTAATGGCACTACTCATATCTTTTTCATCAATATCTGTCCTGGTCGTCTTTTTTTTATAAGTTCGGGCCACATAAAAACAGATATTTCTATCAATTAAACGTTTAAACACCCTGTTCCCAAAAATCCCAAAAACTTACTAAAAGTATTTAAAATCTAAAGCTGCAGTTGTATTTGTTAATAAAAATTTATTTAAAATTAGTTGGTTAGCTACAAAAAATCACTAGTGGGGCACTTTCAACCGGTTTAAAGTGCCCCGTTTATCGGTGGTTGAATCTACCCCGTAGTGACTATGAACAAATATCGCTTGCGAATTCTTGAAATTACATTTGTAGGTTAGGAGATTTCCCGAATTTTACTCTACAAATATGTGCCATAAACATATATTGATATAAAAAATCGATGGTATTATATAGACTCAGACAGAGAATAGTTTTTTGACAAGATAAAACTTACCTTAAATTCGGTAAAACCACACTTTATTTTATTTCTCGCACAACAAGTATAGAACAACAACCAAACTATTTGGTAGTGGCTATGGGTCCACTGACCATATGTATGAATTATTTCAGCACTAAAATCAAATAAACTTAGTAATAATGGAGACTGGTTGAGTGCCCCAAGGTTGAATGTGCCTCCCTTTCCCCTATATTGGGCATTAAACTGATAATTTGTTGAAATAAATGACGAACTGTTATTACTAGTAAGTATATCTGTCATCAAGTTCCAAGTTTGCTAAATGTTGTAAAAAGAATATTGACCATTAAAAAATAAATTATCTTCAAATACTTCCTAAACATTTTGTAAATAACGAATGACCACAGTATTATCAAAACCCTTTTTCGTTCAGGTTGTAAAAGCGTATTGAAAATTATTTTAAAAAATATGTAATCTGTTCTGAAGTATCTCGAGATATAGAAACCAATTTGAGTAAATAAATATCTACTTTACCAGCTATCAAATACCTACTTAATTTCTATGGATACCTATATCAAAATTGAAAATTTTAAGGTCAAGTGAATATTGTGTCAGTAGGGTATTACCATTATTCTATTATGAAATTTAAGTATCGGATGTTAATATGATTCATTAGTTGGTTTGATTTGATTGTACATTGTGAAATATTTATCATTAGATGGTAAATAATTTTTTCGAATTTCGAATGATCAGAGCAAAAATATTTTTAACTATGTTTACATACATTAAGCCTCAAAAGGCAAACCATCTGTCAGATTTAGCAACAACTGTAGTGATAAAAGCGTTAATGAAAATGCTTTTTAGTTACATGGCGTTCCTTTAAGAGAGTAGTGGCATTAGGGACATTCTTAAGATTGAAATGTTATTCACAGTAAAATCAGTTAGACTAACATACATACAAAATTGAACACCCCCTGAAATATAGCCTACCTACTGAAGATCATCTCAATTTAGTATCTATTTAGCTATAAATCTTATTTTATTCTTTATTTTATCGTCTTTATTTCTATGGTGATTTAACGCAACTAACGTTTATACTAAGCTATATTCAAAAAACTTTGTTGTTTTCAATAAAAACACGAACAACTAATAATACAAATTGTAGCTGTTATTTAAAATCATCGAAAATTCAAAAGTCGGCTATAAATTTAGGCGTCAAACTTGACGATCAGGAATAAGTTGGAATAAGAATTATTTAATAGAAAAACAAATTAAACTACAGAAATTACATTCAATTAGCACTGATAAGTTATAGAAATTGTTCAAAATTTGAAAACTAACAAGAGTAAGAAAAGTTTTAGAAGTAAATTCCCCATAAGTCACATTTTAATGGTGCATCATCCCTTATCAACTCTTTAAAATGCTTCAATTGAACTCTACTTACTATCGATGAATGCTCTTGGTACATTCACACCATGTACAGGGTCGGAAAGTCCCCATGGTTCATCGGCCGTTACGTGAGAGCGATAAAGTAAGTCATAGAAATCCGTGCGAAAGAGAAAGATGGCTATAATGAAGGCGTCTAATAGTCACCGCCCATTTCGCCCTTCCACAAATAAGAAGTGGACCTTATGGGGACTTTCCGACCCTGTATAGTTTTTCCGAAGTCAGTTGAACATGCAAAAAAACGCCTGGCATTAAAATTTAATGAGTTTCATAGGCGTCACTAAAAAAGTTTTCTGCTAAAGGTAAAAAATTATAATATGTGTAGAAAATTTCTATTATATGTTCATTTGGCCAACAACATATTTTAATGATTTATGTCCTCAAACAATTTTATTATATTGGTGGTAAATTTCGTTTTGTTCCTTTTCAAAAGGTCTCCAAAATGCCGTGTTGTAATAATATTATTTCTCTCTTTCGCAATTGTAATGTCAATGATTAATAGAAGGTGCCTATAACAAATTAAAATTACCTGAATCACACCAAATTCCGCATTGCTGCACTGCTGTGCAATTTGTCAACCACTTGTCAACAGCTGAGATTTATTGCCCAGTGGCCCAATGCAGCTGTGTTGGTATTTCGTTTGCCCGCGCTCGCATTGTTCAATCGGGCGTATACATTTCTACCACCTTCCCACGTTTAGTTCGACCAGACCTGTATATGGGTATGGCTAAATAAATATGGGAACAAGTTTTTCAAATATTTCAATGCCGAGTTGCAGCGTCAGCGACCGAGCCTGGTACATACACAATCTGTTGGTTCTTCAATTGATATCGAAAAGACTTATACATACTGTCAATCTGTTGGTTCTTCAGTTGATATCGGAAAGACTATACCAAATTTGGTTTTTTTAAGTTCAAGTATAACTGAAATTTTTTTCTAAATTTGAAACCCCACTTTCAAGACCTATAACTTCTCTAGGGTGCAGCTTAATATAAAGGTAAGTTGTGTTAAATTATCATATTTCAGATTTCCTTACATGTCCCTGCTCTGTGTCGGTTTTTATGCGAAACACCCTGTATTTCGTCAATATGTAAAAAAAGTTACATACGGCTACACCTCTTTAACAACTTTTTTATCTGTTTATAATTTGTAATACCTAATTGATATAAAAAGACTTTTTTGTCTCTTATGAAATTTTGATGAATGAAATAAAAATAAATTTTTGACATTAAATGTACAAAAAATATAAAAAAGTTAATATGAATCATACATTTAATGTGTTTCCTCGGTATATAAAACAAGGATTTTTTATATATCCTTAGAATGAATCCTTAGAATATTATGGGAAAGTACTTTAGGATCAATGTTCATGTTATTCTAAAAAACTTACTGCAGTTCTGAAGTGTTGCTATGGAACTAGGAATAATTTATAAAAAGGAATGATATTTAAAACCAAGTTTTATTGGTATTGGTATTAGTTTTATTCTGAATACAGGAAACAAAAATAAAATAAAGATAATAATTAGGTATGTATTTTTTTTTATCACCAATAGGCATAATAAATTGTTGAAACGTAAAAGTTTTAAAACTATTTTTGTGTTTCTGTTGTTTGAATCAGTTGTATGTAAAAGTAGATTGCAGTTTGAGAGTGCAAACTGACTGACTACCAAATGGCCTAAGCATAATCTTGTGATGGAATTGTTCCAACCTGTACTAACGAAAAACCTGTCCGAAAAAGAATAGGTACGGCTCCAAAGTGCCATCCTCGGCTGATATTCCTATTGTCTTGTTTTGATTCCAGGAGTCTGTGGCCGACAACTTAGACTACATTTGGACAAAAAATAATGAAAACTTACAGTAAAGTAATATACATTACAATTACTTTAAGTAATATGCATTACTTTAGGTTAGTTATGTAAAAATTTAAGAAATAATGCACTGAATGTATGAAATCTGTGGCATATACATAGGTACAAATTTAAAATTAAAAAAGATATTTACACCACAGAATCCTGTTAAAAATAAAAAATTTAACATTTAAAATTTAAAGGTGAGATATAAAGTTATCCCTTTTGGAATATATAACTAACACCCCAAATGAATATAAAATGATAACTATTTTTGAAATAATGACCATATTATAACAGATTAAATGAATATTTCGATTAGATTAATGAATTTCTTAAAATATTCAATTAATTTCTTTTAGCCTTGGCATTGTCCATTAAAAATATGTCTTAATGAAAAAAATATGTATTACTTATTTGCTTTTCTGTAGTCACAAGTGACCAAACTGTCTGGACTTTGGTTTGCAGGCACTCGGCAATGGTTGAAATATTTCCCGGTTGGTTGCCACTTGTTGATTTAGACTTCCTAAAACCCAATTTCCAAGTGTTTTCTTCTGAAGAGAGGATGAATATTTCTCTAGAAACATTGAGTCTAAACGGACGATGCGGCAACCAGTCCTAAATTTGTTTAAACAAACTGTATGAAATCTAAAAAAACTTTTAAGAATGTCTTTTACTGTTTCAGTCCATATGTAAGGAAGCTCCCTACAGCGATGAACCAGAAGCTGTTAGAACTCGCGAATTGTGTGACTATTCCTATAAAATTACCTATGAAATGGCTAGAAGTGGAAGAGCTCCTCGTCCTGTCAGAGTGTATGCCGATGGTATATATGACTTATTCCATCAAGGGCATGCCAGACAATTGATGCAAGCAAAAAATGTTTTTCCTAATGTCTTCTTAATTGTAGGAGGTTAGTACAAAAAAAATTGTATTTTAAATAGATGTGTAGGTACAACAAGGTTTAAAATAGTGACTACAATTTATGCCATTCGTCTTTTCTATATTTATTTCAGAAAACATGAGTAATTGTATTTTAGATTGATTTGGTTTATTTCTGAAAACGTGATTTGAGTTTTTGTCACAGTTATACTCGGTTTTAATTTACATAATTTAATACATATTTCAGTCTATTTCAGGATATGCCATTCCAAAATATTTCAGAAAAAAATTTTGGTACACTAAGTTGCCTATTTGACATACAGATATTTTTAAAAACAAAATATACTTCCTGAAATACAATTCAAATTTTCTGAACATCAAATTTATGAATTTAGAAAGTTAATTACCTACGAGTAATATTAAACCAAATTAACTATTTGATCTGAAATAAATTAACCACTTGTACATAAAATATTTAAATTGCCTGTATTATCTTATGTTACTAAATATTAAGTTTACCATCTGATCCTTAACGATGCCAATGGTGCAAAGCAAACAAAACTGTAATTCAAATGTTTAGAATTTTAATGAAATCATGAAAGATAACATTTTGTTTTTTAGTCAAACATTTATAAATACAGAATTCTATATTCACAATATTATAAAGTTCTGTTTAAAGCATATATAGGTACAATTATTTCTTTTTACTGAAAAAGTAATATGTTAAAATTAGAAGAGCACATCACTCCCACTCTAAGTCTGTATCATGTTTATAACATTTTTGTATTTTGTCTGATTCTTTTTTTTCCTTGAATCTTTGCTCATAAATTTAACTCAATAAGTTATATATGAAAAAATAAACAAATAAATTAACTAGACAATATTATAAGGATATTACACTTTTAAGTGGTACACTGTGTACCTATATGGTGCAGCAGGGAGTAACAATATAATATATAAAAAATTATGAAGGGTTTCCCTTGTCCAAATTTAAGAATATTTTCTTATATAAATCTTTGTTTTTTAAACCATCATTTTTTAGTTACATATTGTTGATTTGATCAACTAAACAATTGAATAAATTTTGTGTGCACCATACACGAATATAATAATTTTTTTGACTTTTGCATAGCTTTACTGTTTAGTACAAGTTATCAATTTGTAAATATAATGTAGAATTTATTTCACTGGTTTTACAAAATATATTTTCACAAACCTCATACCTTCTATACCTCAAATATGAGGACTTTATATGACAAGATATTCTTAAATTTTGAAAAGAGAAAAATATTCTATAATTCTTGTTTAATTCAAAATTTAAACTATCATCTTTAGAAAAAAATTGTACTAAAAAGGTAGGTAGGTATCCAAAAAGCCTAGAGGCTATTTCGTTCAAAATAAAATTTGTATTTTCAAAACCACAAAAAATTATTTTCCAGCACCAGCATCCTCAAACCTATGCTACTAGTTTCTTAATTTTTTCACAATGAATTGGTCATTTTATTAATATATTACGGAGTTTTAATGGCAGATGTTTTATAAGAAAATAGTCTTAAACTTGGTTGTGGAAAATGCTCCGTTTTTGACAAGTTATAGTAGTTAACATACTGTATAAAAAAATTTCTATTCACAATTAAAACGATAAATCAAAAGCTTTTGTATGTTTTAAATTATAAATTGTTATAAATAAATATAATTAGACAGTACATCTGACATACATATATTATGTACAATCAACATTATTTTTAAATGTATGAATCATTAAAACAATAATAATAGGAACAAACAGGTTTAAGACCTATATCAATTTTACTGTATAAATTATACTGTTAAAATATATCACACAAACTGTTTTTGACTTTTTTCCCTAGGTAGAACTGATTTTGCTAATAAAATGTTTTTTATTTACAGTATGTAATGACTCATTAACACATAGTAAAAAGGGGCGTACTGTGATGAATGAAATTGAGAGGTATGAGGCTGTTAGACACTGCAGATATGTCGATGAAATTGTTCGTGATGCTCCTTGGGAGGTTGATGACGAATACGTAGCCAAGCACAAAATTGACTTCATTGCACATGATGACATTCCTTATGGTACTGATGATAGTAATGATATTTATGCTCCATGGAAAGCAAAAGGCATGTTTGTGGCCACTGAAAGAACTGAAGGTGTTTCTACATCGGACATTGTGGCACGTATTGTGAGAGATTATGATATTTATGTTAGGAGGAATTTAGCTAGGGGATATTCAGCGAAAGATTTGAATATCTCTTATCTCAGTGAAAAGAAAATTAGACTGCAGAATAAAATGCATGAACTGAAAGATAAAGGACGGAGGGTAATGGATACTATTGGTGAAAGGAAAGATGATATGATAGCTAAATGGGAGGAGAAATCTAGAGAATTCATTGAAAACTTCTTACTGCTTTTTGGAAGGGAAAGACTGTCAAATATTTGGAATGAAAGCAAAGGTAAAATATTGAGTGCGCTGAGTCCTCCTACTTCTCCTTACCCTCCTGGGAGCCCAACATCCAGTAATGGTGATTTTGATTTCATGGAAGATGGACTGCCTCCAAGGAAGAATCCACGGTATGATTCTCCTTCTCCATCATCATCGTCTAAAAATAATTACTATAACGCAGACGATTATAGTGATGAGGAAGAATGTGTAACAGCTAATAGTGATTAGCACTAATAAATTATTAATTCGTCATTTTTCTGTGGTATAAATTTAATGTGTATACTAGATTATACTATTCGAATTTATTTATTAAATTATATCAATTATTTTTGTTTTTTATGAGGACATTAAATCACGTGAATACTTGGACTAGTTTTAAAAAATCTTGAAATTGGTTTGTAATCATTTATACGAATTCAATACTTATTTGTATAACTAAAGCACAAATCAATATTTTGTTTTTATAGTTGAAGTTGAAAAATAATTTAAAATACATCTAAATTAATTAATTGTTTAAATTATCAAATCCACAAAAGTACTGTGTCCATTTTATAACAAGTTAGAATAAATATACGTTTTATCGGCCATAATTAGTTTCTGTTACAATATTTCCAATAAAAATGACTAGTTTTTAACGATTGCTATTTGATCCAATGTGATACTAGAGACTTTTCCACTCATGACCTGAATCAACTTTATCATAATACTAGAAATCAACTTGAGATGTGATGCTGAAATACAATTTTCTTATAACTAATAAATACACCAAGGTGTCCCAAATTCTTGGTGAACAGAACATTAACATAGTAATTAAAAAACTATTCGAGTTTAAATAATTTTTATTCAGTAGATTCAAAGAATGCGCATATTTGGAACCTATAACTTGCAAAGTGTCAATTTTTGTAAAATAATCAGCAATTTTTTTTTTGTATTTTGGTTTGGTCTACAATTTTTCTTTTCCAATTATTAACTCTTTTAAGACGGATCATATGTACCGTTGTAACGAAATTATTAAAGTTTGTGGCACCTTATATGTTTCAAAATTCTGAAAAGATTTCCCTGAAAATATGCTTTAATGATTTTTTGTCAAAAATATGAACAGTAATGTGTAAAACTTTCTTCAAATACATTAGGGTGGCCCAAAAAAAAAAACAAATATTTTTTTCGTGTCTTGTGAAAATATGTTAGTTTGTCATGTTTTAAGAGCCCCCTCAAAAAATCAGCTCAAAAAAAATTTTTTTAGAGGTCACTCAAGAATCGTCAAAATATCCAAAATCATCAAAAATAGATTTTTTTTTAAATTTTTTTTCTGGTTATTTTATCATTTTCTAGGTTGAAAAAATCTCTGTTCTGAAAATTTCAAATCGATATTTTAATTTCTAAAGGTCACTCGATTATTTTAACTAGTAGTGTACCTAAAATGTTTTCAAGCGAAAAATTCAATTTTTGACGATTTTGGAAATTATAAAAAATCTTGAGCGACCTCTAAAAAATTTTTTCTTGAGCTGATTTTTTGAGGGGGCTCTTAAAATATGATAAACTAACATATTTTCACAAGAGACACGAATTAAAAAAAATTGTTTTTTTAAAGGGATTAATCATTTACATTGATACTAATAATTAAATGCAAATTGCTTTTTGTATTATTAATATTTATTATTGTATATCGACACATAACACCTTTCGTCAAAGAGGGGGTGCCTATGCAAAAAGCCCAGCTCTGTATCATAATCCAGTTTCTGGGGTCACAAAATATACTACAAATATATCCATCTTTAAAGATGAAAAAAAAAATTAATCGAAATAAATGATAATATAAAGTACCACAAACTTAACAATTTCTAAGTATACAAAGTGATTTCAAAGCATGTGTCAAATAATTCAGAGAAAGATGAAGCACTGATTACTATTTTGTCTTATAAACTCATGTCCAATATTAATGGTATAGAAGATGGCTGTTGGAAGCTAATAAAAAAATATTTTTGCCAACAGCTCAGAAATTAATTTAAAATATTAATTAAAAAATTAATTTGTTTTTAATATTTTGATATTAGAAAATGTCTAAGAATTTAGAATAGAGTATAAAATCCAAATTATTTTCATTTAACAGATAAAGGGTGAAACAAAAAATTTTCCTTATCTATATATATACTGCAAAATTTTAAAGATCATACATTTTAGTTAAAAAATAATTTAAGTCTATAAAATTTAAAACAAATGTACCTCATTTAGAAATTGGTTACCTTCATACCTCATAATACTGAAAAAATTGTCACCCAAATAAAAAATTAAAAAAATCACAGCTGAATTAAAAATTGACCAAATATGCATATTGTTTAAGACCTGTTTAATAAAAAAATATTTGACCCTTTATTTATTTATTACTGTGTTAAAGACCTACATATTTATAAATTGGCTCACCTTGTAGGTGGTAATAATTTAGAAGTTTGTAAAAGCAGTTAGTACAGCATACATCAATACTTCAAAACTCATAATAAAAAGATAATAAGTATGTATACAAAATGTTGCTAAAATATAAGATGCCTCCTTTCTTAATGCAACTATATTTTAAACTCATTTTTGCACAATTATAACAAATTTAATGTACAGGGTGGCCACAAGAAAATTGTCTACCACCTTCCTATCTCCCGTATTACTGAAGAAATGTGTGGATTGTAGGGAATTCTTAGTCAGACTAATTTTTGCATATCCCTACAACTGAATACATGTTTAATAAACAGTAGATATTAAATATGTGATAATGATCTATTTTCTGTTTAAATAAATGTAACAAAAGTGCAAATAATATTTGATAGTAGTATTGAAGATTTTTGTAAAACTAGTTCCAGTATTTACATTTTAATAAGCACAAATGTGTTTATGAGCTGTTTTTTTTTGTTTTCAATATTGTTTCTTATTTATTCAAATTTTATATACATTTTATTTATTTAATAACTTTTTGAAGTATTATTTCTTCTACAGCAGACTTATTTTTGTAAAAGATATTTTGTAATAGTGAATTTATTTATTATATACCAATATAAATTAGTTAAAAAATAAAATATTTTGATGCAAGCGATTTACCTCACATAATATAGAAATAATGCACATACTAAAACCATAAAAAATTATGTTTAATTTAATGTTTAGTTTATTATTTAATTATTCGATTTCATTTAACAAAATATTTACTTCATCCACTGGGTTTTAACTGTGATATCAAATATTAATGCAATTTTTCTTTGCTATAATGTATTTTAAAAATTGTTCCTACCTTACCAAATGGATATTAGGTACTTGAAAATATCAAGTATTGTCAAATAAAAATTTTCTATTTAATGAGTTACAAAATTAGGAGCCTATTGCCCACAGTTTAAAGAATAATAAAAAAATTGCCAACTACTATTTGTTGGAATACTGACACAAGTAAAAATGTATTTCAAACTACAAAATAAAAATTATTTAACAACAAATAATGCAAGTTACAAATTACAAACTAAACAATCGTCATTTATGGTGAGGTTTCTAGATAAGGCATGCTTCTTATACCAGGTGTTCAAAAAGTTTGGAACCCCCCTCTCTACCTCGGGAAATACTGCTCAAACAAAAAAATGATTAGGACAAAAGTTGCAGGGCTTTGAGTGAGCAATCCAACGGTGACATTAACCATGACCTTGAAGGTCATTTAGAGGTCACGTTGAAAATTTTAAGAGGAACCGTATATTTTTGACACCGGAAATGAAAAAATGGAAATTTTTACGTTCGGATATGACCTTGACCGTTACCTTCAAGGTCGTTTACAGGTCAAGTCGTTTTTTAATAAATGACCCGATATTCTTGACTGCGGAAATTGAGTGAGCGTAAAATTCAAAAATGACCTGTCTTTGACCATGACCTAAAGATAACTGTAACGTCAAACGTAAGTAAAGAACTTAGGTTTAATAATGCTCTTACGAAAAAAATTAATGGCAAAAAAAGTATTCGGTTCCATTTAAAATTTTTAACTTGACCTCTAAATGACCGTCAAGGTCATGGTCAAGGTCACCGTTGGATTGCTCACTCTAAACCCTTCAACTTTGGTCCTAATAATTTTTTGTTTGAGCAGTATTTTCTGAGATGGGGGGGGGGTTCCAAACTTTTTGAACACCCAGTATGTAATTTCTGATAAAAAATTGTTGGGTACTAGCCAAGTTCTTGAATTAACGATTGTCTTGGATCTAGTAAAACTAGACGAATAACATTTAAGGCGTGCAATTTTATCATATGTGACATTTGTTTACTTAAGGAGATCTTTCACCTCTGGGCTCATGTTTTATATTTTTAATACTTGTTTTTTATGTGAAAAAATGTATTTTTTTTTTATTGTAGATAGTGGGATAAATCGCCATGTGCCTAAAATAGGTTTTAAGGGGTAACAACACTGTAAAATTTTAAAGCGTAATTTTGCGATTTTTTTTTAATGGAAAAGTAAGAATAATGTTCAATAATATTATTAATCATGTATTTAAGTGTTAAAAAAATGTTTATTCAAAGTATAAAATGGTGACAATGTTATTTTAAAGACATGGTCAAAATTTGGAGTGAATAAAATGAAAATTGTCGGAGTTATGCTTGTGTACTGTTTTAAAAATTGTGTTTCGAGGAAAATTTAAATTTTTAAAGTATAGCTATACTAATGTACTCTCATTTGAAAATACTTGAAAATTAAACACAAACTCCTAATGACATCCGTTAGTAGTATTAGAGAAGTTAGAAATTAAGAGGTAAGTCATTAGGTTGTACCCCTTCAGCAAGTATCTATATGCTGCAGGGAGTCATTTGGGAGCAATCTTAGCTCTTGGGAAAGAACTTTAAATCAATTAAAAAAAAATAGATTTTATTAAAATTATACAGTGGTCTTGCCCTTTAAATATATTATTTTGGTAATGAAATTTTATTTTGTATATCTTTTATCATAGCATCAGATTCAGTTTCACAAAAATGTTTAGGTAGAGTTGAAGTAATCTAACAGTCGGACAAATGTAAAAAAAGTAAATAGTGCTTGAATATAGTGAGCCTTCCTTCCTGAAGTATTTTAATTCCATTTTCATATTTTACTTATAATTTGTGAAAACTTTTTTTATTCTAATTGTTTTACTTTATAAAGCGTGTCCAAAAATGAATGGCCATACATCAATGGTAATTTTCTTTAATATAAACCCATGTAGATCAAGTTATTTTAGTACAATATTACTTTCTTAAAAAGTTACATATGATCAAAAAAGTTTTTTCTATTTGTTAAATTTGTAGATAGTATTTTTTGCTTGGTTTTTTTCAAATGACAGCA